CACAAACACTGTGACATATGATTTATAGCATAACCCGCTGTCCTATGAAGACAAATTTAACATACAGGTCGCCTAGCCGTGGGGATGCAGTGGTCGGGATGAATATCACGGCAGCAACTGATCATTTGGGCATGTCTGGTAAGAACGTATGAAGTGAAACTTGCTAACTCCACAAGTTTGAAGATTTTGTACAATTTCTTTGAAAATGATGAAATATATGTCTGATTTGGCAGGGCAATGTCGCAGCCAAATGGCAGTCACTCTTTCTGACACAGTCCGGATCGAAAGATGACGATACTCGTGAAATGTATTGATACTTCTAAATATTCGATCCTATCGAACATCCCTACTGTCAAGATGTATAACCCAAAGTACCGAAGGAGCTATTTTGCGGCGTCATGGAAATAATTTTAAATTTTCATTTGCATTTTTTCGAGTGTTGTGCAATGATGACCAGGAGGGTGAAACGGGATATTAATGCACAATCTGGCAACCCTATCGCACCCTCACAAAATGGCCGCTGACAACCACACAAGTCACCGTGTTGTGATTGAATAGCATGGAATTAAACCTTCTGAGTATGTTTTGTGACTGGTACCAAGAGTTGACAGAGCCCACACAAGTGTCACTCCTTGAAATGCAATAATCATCTGTATTCAAATAACGTATAATATAAATATAACCCAGAATATCTACTCAGTGAAAAAAGAAAAATTTTTCAAATTTCTAGTTTTTCTGCAGGTTTTAGGTCTGCTGGTATTTCTACGACATACGTATATATTTGGGTAATCCTTAATCGCTAATGTAGTGTGGATGTTTGTTAAGTTCCTGAACAACGAAAAATATTCGACTTTATGGATGTATGGATATTAAAAAACCAGAATGGTTTTGTGGGAATATCAATCTAAGGTGCCATAATGGTTCTGATGAACGGCAAGTAAATGAATAAATGTTTGGAAACGAGCAATATCTATGAACTTTTTGGTAGAGCCAGTCATCAAGTAGGTGCTTAATAGTTATCCGCAACAGCTTTATTGGAAAAAACACCCAGTAGATGATCTTGAATCAGTAAAATCGCATATCAATTGAGAAAAATCAACAATGGTAATTAAAACATGAATTTTATTAAAAAATCAAACATTTGTTTAAATTTGGACCGAATTATATGTAATTTTTTAATATTCAATAAGCTGGTCATGTTTCAATGACAAGATGTCATCTCATACTTTGCCAATATTCTGTTTTCAACATTTCATAGCTATTGGTTGCTAAAATTTGTTGATTGGAACTTGAAGCTCATTCGCTGTATTTGACGGACTGTTACCCTATAAGTGGAGAAGAAAGGACTGTTGTTGGTGAAATTGGCCCTAAGAGTAGCAATTTTGTATGTAAATTTCCTCAAAATCTGACCGGCATTTTCCAAGATACGGCGAAGTCAAGGATTAGCGGCAGACAGAGTGTCCGAAATGAGTGACATGGTTTTTCGTGATGTGCATGCCGTATAACATCGAAAAACGTAGTATCTCATTTTATACATTCTTCGCGGCTGCCATATTTCCTTGCCAGTGGTCTAAGAAGTAAAAAACAGATGCATTCAAAGATGTATTCAGGCAAAGCAAGTAACTCGTATTAATTTTGAAGTGACAATTACCCTGCTTCATTACACGAACTGACCACTTTCCTGAAATAAAACTGCTCAAAAATGATGATCTAAACTGAATCCAAATTCAAGATGAGATGTAAATAATAACAGTTAGCGCGTAATCTCTCGGTAACAGGTGGGGACAACGCATCTTATTGTTCAATTCGCCATTAAATTTTAAGCGGTCGCCTGGCGGAATAATGCGCGGGGCAGGGGCAGGGCAGGCAGAGTTGCACTCAGGCCACCGTCCGTCGCGTGTATCACTGCGTGCTCGTGTTTTCGTATTCACCTTGCTTGGTTGTTGCTGTTGTTGTTGTTAAGTGTATTTGAGTAATTTGTTAAGGTTCTGTTTCTGTTAAATACTGTCATCTTTGTTTTACAACACGTTGGTGGCAGTCCATCATTCGGAGGTAGCCCTGAATGCGGCCCTGAACGCCGTCCTTGCTTTTGGCAATCACGCATCCATTCTATCTTGGGTGTAAATACACTATATCTACGTATATAAGATATCGTATCACATCAAGCATTTTGTGGCTGATCAAAATTTATTACTCGAAGAGGCAGGCTATTTATTGTACTAAAGAGGGGCGCCCCGTTTGAGGTTTCAGTGAATGGAGTTCGTGTACCTTGGACTAATTCTATCAAGCATCTTGGTCTCACTCTTCACAAGGGGATGACTTGTCAGGAGCACACTGCAGCGTTAAAAACCAAATTCCAAATTACGTTTCGGCAACTCTACCCTATGCTATGGAGATCCTCAAAATTAAGTTTGACTAATAAAGTTCGGATATAGGTATACAAAACCAGAATCTCTAACGCCCCATGGTATGTCTCCAACGAGACCCTCCACAGAGACCTCGATATTCCTTACCTTAAGGACTACATCACAGTTACGTTACAGTCAAGCGGAATTGCACAGCAACCCTTTGTTGCGTGAGCCAGTAGACGACACAGTCGAGTAAGTCCGCAAGCACACGAGACCGCGGCTCGCACTGTAAACAAAATTAAATCGTGCAATTCTAGGGCCAACCAGAACTAAAATTTTTCAGCACATACAAATTCCTAAATTAATTTTTAGATCAATCTAAAATCACTGAGTAATAGTTAATAATGTCAAGGCACTCCTCCGACAGACATACTTCCTCCTTCCTGTCTGCTTCCCTTCTTTCTCCCTGATTTTGCCTGGTATCTGGGCAACCAGACCTGACGGACCTACTGACCTACAATGCTTCAACCAAGAGTAAAGGTTCTCGGACCGCTCTGACGGACAATGACGTATAGAAAAATCTAGCGTCTCAAGTCCAGGCACCGATTTGTAGATGTGTGTAGATTTCACAAATCCGTACTGCATAATTAGTCCGCAAACCCATTGGTATCTGCTTCAAGTGGTAAACCCGGTAGTTTTGACCATATCAATGTTTAATAGTGTATTTATCTCCCCCAGCAAAACCGGGATGCCTATGCATAAAATTAACGTAAATTTATCGGTTTAATAGTGGTAGGTAAAGCGCAGTAATTAACCTGTCTGTTCAAACTTAGCAGTAATATATATGTAGTGTTCGCGATGAATGTTCTGACTTTCGCTATTAGGGCGTATATACAGTACCCTTACTTTCAAGGATGTCAGGGGTAGGGTGGTGCGTGGAAACTTAGCGGTATATCACAAAAATGGTTACGAAAAGACTAGCGGCGTTGCACTAACTATTTCTTAAGTGGCCAATAGGCCATTAGGTACTTACACTACCTTTAGCATTTTTTACGGATTGCACCGACATTTAGTGATGATCTATGTGTCTCTTGAAGCTCGATTTGTTAAGTACCACACTGAGACCACTTAAAGTACCATTCGCATTTTCTAACCTGTTGCCGACAAGCTGGGGACACGTTTGTCATGAAAAGACATATAATGGGTTATGTAGATTTTCTTGGCGCTGAATTATTAGAGGATATGTAGGATGATGAGGTTGAGTTTGACGAGTTCCTCGATTCTGCTTTCCCAGAATATTCAATGGCAGCCCAAATTACTACCAAGAAACGGAAAATCTGGATTTTCTAGTTATTACATTTTTACGACAAAAAACTAAAATGCCCAACTCTAGGGAATTCATGAAGGGCCAAAATGATTTACATATACAGGGTGCGGCAAAGAGGACGGACGTTTTTTGGATGGGTAGTACTCTCAGCCTCTGTCTACGAGAGAGGTGGGGAGGGTGCCGTTTGACTCGTGAGATCCTAGCATTATTTTTAGAGGTGGCTGATATCGTGATTTCTGGATATCGGTGATATCCGTGATCGTGACTTTTTGATATCAGTGATTCAAAAGCGTGACGTGATCACGACTTTCGAGTAACGAGTAGGGTATGACTTAACTGATACCCTGAGCTCACTGTGATAAAGTAGCATCAAACACTTAAGTTTGCGTTTGAAATATGTAGATACTAGGTACATATGTATAATAATAGTCTTCTGAAATGAAAACTTGTTGAATATATTACTATGACAAAATACATTCGAGTACGATAACCAAACAAAAATAAAGAATACGAGATTCCACAAAAATAAATATATAAATGGTATTCTAGTACTATATATAAAGTCTCAAAAGCCAACAAAAATAAATAGAATGTTCTATCATACTATAGAATAGTAAAAGCAATAACTAAATGTCTGCCATGTACTTCATGTTAGAGTTGGGAAATAATAACATTTCAACATTTTTGGTGCTCAACCTAGTTCGCCTGTCGCTTATAACTTGCCCAGCTTTCGAAAACAGCCTTTCACAGGGAACTGAAGTAGCTAAGTTACACAGTTGTTCCTGTGCAATTTTGGATAGATATGGGAGCATTTGTCTGTGTTCTCTCCACCAGAGAAAGGAGTTGCTTGTTCGAGGGATGATTTCCTCTTCCAAGTATCTCTGCATTTCGATAATTGCACGAGAAGTGAATGTTCCCTTTGGTTGAGCACTCGCAACGATTTTATCGAAGTTTCCCCAAATCGACAGTTCTCCATCTTCCTCTTGATTCAATGACGATTTGCTCTCATTAACTAAGCTTTCAGTTACGTGATTTCCAAGCTCAGAATTGTCTTCTCGTATTTTCCTTGCTATTAGTTCTATCAATCTTTTTTTCGTGTTTTCAGCAGCAGTTTTGTCAAAGAACGCAATATCCTTGAATTTGGGATCAAGAAACGTGCTATTAGATAAGGTACCACTCCTTTGAATATTACCAAGGCGTTCCTGTAAGCCTGAGTACCAAACTTCAACCACATTGTTGACTGTTGCTGTGAACCGCTTCTGATTCACCAATTTCACAAATACGTTTTGTAAGCCGGAACAGATGGGTATCACAAGGGAAGTGGTTCAATATGTATCTCCAGATAGAGCTCTAGACGCATCTTCGAATGGTTTCAGCACAAGACATAGTTCTTTGATAATGTTCCATTCCTCTACATTTATCACAGGTAGTTCCTTGTCAATAATAGCAACAGTGCTCTTAATGGCTTCTTCTAGCCGAATAAACCTCTCTAACATATAGTAAGTTGAATTCCAACGAGTAGCCACGTCAAGAATTACTTTAAGAGGAGTTTCGATTCCCGTGTTTTCTTGATACCTCAGGAGTTTGTTGTTCGAAATTGTACTTTTCTTGAAGTAGCGTACTATTTCTCGAACTTTTTCTAAAATCAATGTGATCCTTTCGTTTTTTAATCCATCCTTGACTATAAGGTTGAGCGTGTGTGCAACGCATCCCATATTTTTCCATCTCACTAGCTGTAAAGCTTTTTGTATGTTTGCTGCATTATCCGATACAGCAAAAACTATCTTGTCTTGTATATCCCACTTAGTGGCTGCTTTTAGGAGAAATGCAGCTAGATTCTCAGCTGTATGACCTTTTTCAAATGCAGAACACTCAAGGAGAACCGATATCAAATTAAACTCCTTGTTTAAAAAATGTGCAGTTACAGCAACATAGCTAGTGTTGGTGTTATTTGTGGAAGTCCAACCATCAGTTGTGACACAAAATGTTTTTCCAGTTGAGATCAGGTTTTTTGTGTTGGTCAAGCATTCTTCATAAAGTGCCGGAATTAATGTTTTTGAAATGATGCGCCTTTCTGGCAATTGATATGATGGATTGAGGGCTGCAACGAATTCCCTGAAGCCAGTATCAGCAACTATAGAGAATGGCTGAAGATCTTTCACGCAAAGATAAAGTAACTTCCTGTCAATTTTATTTTTCTGTCTGGCACTAATTTTTGTTTGCAATATGTTTGAAAAACTATCAACTTTCGTTTGAGTGATTCTAATTGGAGCATTTGCTTGGCATGCTATCTGAGTTTGCTTGGAAGTAGATGGGTGATTGTCAACAGCACTCTCCATAGATTCTCCATTATCTGTCTGAAAAAAAATAAAAGAAAGGATTCAAATCCCCGTTGTGTATTTATATGTAGTATTCCACAAACGTTGATTTTGATACCTATAAATAATTAATGATGACAGACTTCAAATAATAAGCTATGAAAAATACATGAAAATTATTGGAATATTATAGTACCAAAACAAAACTCTTAGAGATTAAAATCACTCCATAATGTAGGGCTGAAAACAAAGTCTAAAATATATTCACTTACCTTACTGCGATATATATGTGTATCACTCTCACTAGCGGTGATTGTTGATTTCAGGGTAATGGTGGGATGTCTTTTGTTTATGTGTTTTTTCAAATTGCTGGTACTAGTTTTGTACGAAAATTTGCACTTGCACATATTACATATTGCAAAGCTTTCGTCAATCGGCTGAAAAAATTGCCACAATTCGCTTGATTTTTTTCTCAAGATTGGCGCCATGGTATCACGTTTTGATCTGCAGGCGAAAATAATCTCAAAGTAACCTAAAATCCAGCTTGTTTTGGTTTACACTGCCCCTTACGCTGTACTGTTACAATGTTCAATATCGCTTACAGGCCATGCGGCGGCTTACGATTTTCGACCTCACGGCAGCCCGCATGCGCCACGCGCGACGCATGCGTACGGCTTGCATATTCAAAATTCAAACAGTGCCGTGAACGTTGATACCGTGAACCGTGATGCGTGATCGTGATCCCATCCCACTTCATCTTCGGCGACGCGGGTGCCGGGCGGATGTTGGCTCGGCAGCGCGCTTTGCGAAGTCGTGATCACGTCACGCTTTTTCACGACATTCAGTAACAGCCGTTATCCGTGATTCCAAGATATCAGTTACTGGATCACAGTTCGTGAAATATCTGACATCACTAATTATTTTACCAGTTGTCGTTATGGAGCCTTGGACGGTGTAGCACCGCGTTTTCCCCAATGATTATTTCGTCCGAAATAATGAGTCGATCATCGTCGTACAGCATGAGTTTCGTTGCCACTTCAACATTCATCGGAATAGAGCTGTTCCCTCTCGAAACACCATCCTTCGTTGGGTTGAATCACTTCGAAGGCGTGGTGAACTGATCAATAGAAAACCAAGAGGAGCGCCGCGAACAGTTCGAACTCCTGAAAATGTTGAACGCGTTCGACAGGTCTTTCTTCGCAGTCCGACTCGATCTCCCCGGAAACATGCTGCTGCACTTCACCTTAGTGATCGTTCGGTAAGGCGAATTTTGCATACGGATCTCCGCTTTCACCCCTACAAATTGGCCATTGTGCAACAGTTACAGCCCGGAGATTATGCACAACGAATGAACGTCGCACGTGAGATGGAAGCACTGATCGATCAAAATGAGAACCTCAAGGCTAGATAGAGTATACGCGAACAAGCCCCGAACTCTGGACGAATTGAAGGGCGAAATTCGCGTGGAAGTCGCCCAAGTTGAGAGAGCGATGTTGGAGAGAGTCTGCGCGAACTTCCAAGAACGCCTCCAGCACTGCATCAACGATTTCGGCCACCACATGCCTGATGTGATATTCCACACTTGACTGTCTCAAATGCTATTTCCTTGTGAACCTGATTCGATCAATAAATTTGTTTTCGAGTAAAAATTAACTATTTTATGATTTTTTTAAAACCGTCCATCCTCTCTGCCGCACCCTGTATAATAAAATAGTTGCGGCTATTGATTGTACCTATGTGAAAATTTAATCTTCTGATGGTACGGCGGTCTCCATGGACAGCTGTTTTCCGATGAAACAAATACATTTGACATTACACAGACATATGTCGTTCTAGTTTACACTGTTGCCACGTCGAGTTTTATCGGTAAAGTGGATATAGTTAAGTAAGGAACAAATGTGTTTGGCGCAAACCAGGTAGGTACCATTATAATTAAAGCGCCTCGTAGCTAATGGTCGCATAACAAAAAGCCGGTGCAAACGGCCGTAAGGGCCACGTTTATCTGTGTTCCTTGAGGATTGAATGCCGTTGGAGAAATCATATCCTTGGACCTCAAAGAAACCGTAACAATTCCTTGGGTAATGTTTAAGGGAGGATATAACATTTGCATTTCACATGGAAAAAAATTACGGGAGACTTACAAAATTTCGAATTTTCAAATTATTCGAAACTTTTATAACTCTCAAAACTTTCAACTTTTCGATAATTCACTTTTAAATTTTCAGAACTTTGAAAATTTTGATAAACCCTTCTTTCATATCCCCGTGCAAAATTGAAAAAGGTCTGCTATCCATCACCACCAATCGACAGAGATTTTTCAGCAGAAGTACAATTATCAGGATCGATATTGCATAGGTTCAACCAGAGCTCTTGTTGGCGGCCAGTGCCTGGTATGACATGACAACTGGCTGAAACGCGAACAAGGGACGGGGGATTAATTGATGTTGTCAGTCTCATGTTCCATTCGCATCAATGTTGAAAATTTAAGGAATGGGCGTCGAAATGTAATGTGACGTGGAATATGCCTATTGTATTATAGATTTTGATATTATGCGTGTCTCCTGTCTCCCGTTATGACTGCATGCTCTTTATAAGAGGAAATTCACGAACAAGACAGAGGTGTGACATATGACATATTATATTATATAGTGAGTAGATGTCATGAGTATTCCATGCTTTAAGGATGAAGGTGAAATCTGATTAAATCGATGATACTGACGAACGGATGTCGGGTATAAGAGATACTTATGGTTTGTTCGTACAGTCTGATTGCTGATAATCAGCAAACTGATAGTCGGCGACAAGTCATGACCTAGTTTACGCAGTTAACTGTCACTGCCACGTCGCTGACTGTATTGATTGCGTACACGAGAACGTTACGAGTTGGCTGAGAAAGGTAAGACCGACTACCGTCAAATTAGTCAGTAGATAATTTGCCAGTGAATTGTCAGAGCTCGAAATCAAGTACAATCATTATTCGAATGTAAAATTTTTCAGAATGAAGTAGACAATTTTGGAAAAGTTGGGGTATGTCCATTTGCTGTAAACCAGAAAGATCTAGGATTTTTAGTCCAACTGCCTGAATGTTCCCGAATTTTCCTCTAGAGATGAGAACATGGGCACTTTCTAGAAAAAATAACAGCACCCAAAAATGTCAAGTAGATTTACTCAGTAATTTCCATTCAATTCTCATATAAAAAGTATAAGCATAAATTCGGAGAAATATGATTCTACACATCAAATGACAAGTTGAAGAAGTAAATACATAGTAAGAATTCTGAATTAACGTCTGCAGTGATTATGCATGAGAAATGTACAAAGTATTGTGAATGACTTTTAATAAAACTCAGATAGTACTTTTTGTTTTTGTTCCCTTGTCGCCCAGCCTCGAAGTGTATTCACAAACAGTATTTATAAAGTGTTGTCCAATAGGGACGCAGGAAAGTAAACGTCAATTTGACATAGACGTCATCTTTGTTTTCTGTCACTGACATGTCATTTTGTTAGTTGAATGTTTACCATTGATCGCTATAGAGTCGTATTCGATTGAAGACCGCATTAAAGTTATCCAAGAGCACTACAAAAATGGTGCAAAAATAAAAAACACGTTTCGCGCGCTTCGTGAACATTTCGGTCGCAACAACCGCCCAAACGAAACAACCATCGGTCGTCTGGTGCGTAAATTCGAGGCAACAGGTTCTGTGGCAAATCTGCCAGGCTCTGGCCGGCCAAGGAGGGTTCGCACACCGGAAAATATTGCTGTTGTGAAGGAGAGTGTGAGAGACGATCCGAAACAATCAACAACGCGTCGATCCCAAGAATTTGGCATTTCGAGAACCACAAGGATTTGAACGTACACGCCTACAAGGTCCAATTAATGGAAGAGCTGCGTCGAGCCGACCATTTTTCGCGCCGAACTTCTCAGATTGGCTCCTTGAACACCGCCAAATTGATGCCAATGTTTCATCAAAAATCATGTTCAGCGACGAAGCGCATTTCACTTTGAATGGGACGGTAAACAAGCAAAACTGTCGCATCTGGGCGAACGAAAAACCCTGTGAGTATCAAGAGCAGCCGATGCATCCTCAAAAAGTGACTGTGTGGTGTACATTGTGGTCAAAAGGCATCATCGGGCCTTACTTTTTCGAAAATGCGGCCGGGGACGCCGTTACCGTCAATTCTGAGCGATATCACGTGATGATAGAGGACTATTTTTTGCCGCAACTTGAAGGAATGGATATGGACGATGTTTATTTCCAACAAGACGGTGCAACATGCCACACAACCAACGTCAATATCCATCGATTGAAGTCCTTCTTCAGTGATCGCGTGATTTCGCGCAGAGGAAATGTGCCATGGCCACCAAGATCGTGCGATTCGACTCCCTTGGACTTCTTTTTATGGGGATATTTGAAAAGCAAAGTCCACGTCAACAAACCAGCCACCCTCCAAGAACTCGAAAACAACATCATTGCTGAGATAAATGCCATAGAACCGACCATGTTGCAAAATGTCATTGAAAATTTCGACCATCGCGTGGCCGTCTGTAAATCCAGTCGTGGTGAATATTTGAGCGATATTATTTTTCATACATAAATGGTATAAATGAACCTTCAAAATAAAGTACCCAACTTGATTTGAATATCAATCTTTCTTGTTTTAATATGCGTTTACTTTCCTGCGTCAGTTTTGGACAACCCCATATATTCTAGCTATGTAAGTCTAATGAAAAAAAAACAAAGTAACGAATTCTGGAGATTTTGTTACAGCTTTTTTTCACGGGTGCCCACGGAGAGGGAATGGCCGACTGTTTCTGCTGGGGTGAAAATAATATTTTCCCTATACACGGTTTTTTAAATTCGACCCTCACCATTGGGATCTTGGAAACTTTAAGGAAATGAAGTCGCTTAAATAGGGGCAAAGTTGCGTATTGGGATAATCAGCAAAATGTCGCTTAGAAAGTTTTGAAATTAAAAGTGCTCCTGGAAAGAAACGAAATTTCCTAAAATGATTTAATTTTCTCCTGACATTATTTATGGTGGGATTTCAAAATAAATTGCACATCAACTCTGCCACATTTTCTCCTCTATAATACGGCCCAATTAGAAATTCAATATGATGTTTCGTCTCTTGTCCACCAGCATCAACTTAATTTTTTCTTATAGACGCAATATTGGATTGTTACACACATGAATAGAATGATTGTTTATTTTGATTTCAAAAATGTATACATTGACATTGCAAAACCTCAGTTATTCCAGAAGTTCCTACGTAGGCCTTGAAATTTTCAGATTTAATTTGTTTGCATAGCAAAAGAGTTTGGAAGACTAAGAAGACCTCTACTTATGTATGGTTATTACTGTTATTACCATCAATAAAATTTTAATTTCGTATTCAGGTTTCACCA